TTCATCTCTCACCAAAACTAAGGCATGGGTTTGTGTTTTCTGCACCCTAATCCCATGGTTTAAAAGAGAGGGCATCTCATTTAGCCCAAGGCTTTCCCAACATGTTTCGCTTCGTTTGCCAACAGACAGAGCTGGTGCCGCGCTACCATTCCATGTGCAAAGCTGACCAGACTGGCAGCTGGATCTCCCTTCGGCACAGGGGAGCATCCTGCTCTGCACCTGAGCGCACCGGACCGGCTGAGGAGGCGCAAGGGAGGCCCCGCAGGGCGTCTGGCCCTGGCCTCCAGCATTTGGCCCACCCCTTCCAGAATCTCCTGCCTGGGATGGTCCCCACGTCCAGCCTAATGCCTTTCATTTGAAGCACACATCCAGGAGGATTCCGAGGATGCTCCACACGGGTTCCACAGGATCAGGAGAAGAGTGTGGCAGCGAAAGCTGCGGGGTGGGATGTGGACAACGTGGAGCCAGGCAGATGGGGAGCTGCCCAGCCCAGACTGGCCTGCTCCGAAGGGCCAACGCGTTTCCCTGCTGGCATCCACCGGGGGACCACACTTGCCCCCTCGCCTTTTGTGCTGGCTCCTTTTAGCCACTGTCCCTCAAAGCTATCCCTAGGCTGAGGTGGAGCGAGGTGGCCCCCTGGAGCCGTGGGCACAGGGCGGCGGGTGGCAGCCGCCCCTGGCCCCACCCCGGCTGCTCCTCTTCTTCTGAGGGGCACCCAGGCGGCAGCAACCCCCCAGTAGAGGGTGGCCACGGAGGAAGGGCCAAAAACAGGAAATTCCTCAGCCACAAAAGAGGAGAGCAGTCTACTATATTTATAGAGGCAAAAGTATGTTATTAGTTACATTTGTGTCCCAATTGTAGCCCTTTTGTGAGAAATCTTAGTTTACCTAGTCTTTCTGGCCATTAACCCTCACGACAACCCTGTGAGGCAAGTTTGGCTAAGAGTTAGTGACCGGCTCAAAGTCACCCAGTGAGTTTCATGGCTGAATGGCTACTAGAACCTGAGCATCTCCTGAGTCCCAGTCCAACACACTAGCCACTACGCAACACTGCCTCTTTCCATTTGGAAATAATTCTTAGAATTTAAATGGAAGCACAGTACATCTTAGCAGAGTGGGTTGTGTAGGGGTTGCATGTGGACGACTTCAAAGCCTGGGGGATGGCTTTTTCTCTTCTGCTGGAGAGACCTACAAACAGAGGGCATCTTCAAAGTACAGGACAATCCTTCAAATAGAGAGCTGCCCTCTAGAAGAGGATACGTGACAACCCTACTCACCTGTTGGGCTGCCTGCCTGTCTCATCCAGTTGCTTGCTTGGAATATGCCCCACAGCATCACTGCGAGAGGTCCTTCTTCACAGAAGAGAGTCCTCTGTTTCGGGGCGACGGCAAAGAACAACCATCAGTTTGAAGACAGCAATGTGTGCGGAATCCAGTCTGAGTGTGGGAATCCCTGGACCCCAGACCACCTTTTTCTCTGCCTGAAGTCCACCTCATGCCAAGCATTCACCTGAGCATCTGGCAGGACGAGAGGCCAAGCGGGTTTGCAAAGCCGGCTCATGGCCTCCCCCACACGGGACTTGTGGGCTCTGCGTACTTTGCACGAAAAGCCACTGGTGTGCCTGCACCTTTGCGGACTGGATTCTGGCTTGGCCTGCTCCCCGGCCAGGGCTATGCATGGGGAAGATGTCCAGCAGGCACAAGAAAGCCAGATTCTGCCCCGGTCTTCGCAACCCTGTGTGGGGACAGACCACTGTGATCTAGTTTAAAGTCAGCAAACTGGAAGGTGGGAGAAAGGGGGCCATGAAGTTGTCCATCAGCAGTTGGCTGCTGGCAAGCAGAAACATGTTACCTGGTATTCTTCTCCACTATGGTGAGACGCATTCTATTTCTATTTCTCTTACAGTTATTATTTCTGCATTTGCACCTACATTTGCACATGTAAATGTGATCCAAATCGGAGGCGTCTTTTGTCCTGTTTTTTGACGATGCAATTCCCCTTTTTTTGTAAAGCGTATGTGGGCACCCAAGCGGTGAGGCCAGGTGTTGCATGTGGCACAGCTGGCTGGCAGTTCGGCAAGTGGCATCTCAGCACTTCTGCACAACATGTTGGGGAAGTTGGCACTGAGAGCGCTGCTGTGTCCTTCCCTGATTCAAGAACAGTCTGGGACGCTCAACTGCTGGAACATAACACTGTCCTCTGCTCCCTTTCCAGTCCCGGCTTTGCTGGCACAGAAGTCACATCAGGCTCACTCTAGCGACCTCTGCTGGAGGAGGGCAGCCCTGCCTCGCTCTGCAGATATGTGCAGTCGCAAGCTGTGCATTGTATTTAGGGCAAAGCACCCAGATTTTGGAGCACCCCCCCCCACACACACACCACTGCAAGGCGTGTATGAGAAATTCATTGATGTCTGTTTCTGACCCAGTTAACACCTTCTAGACCAAATACAGACTCAGATGCAGTCAAAGTTCATACATTTCCAAGCTTGCAATATGATTGATGGAGTGAAACCAAAAGTGGTTGACCGCACACATGCATTTCAAAAATGTGTACATCTGAAAATGAGTGCATTTCAAATATGTGGACAAACACACTTTAATCATAGGAAAAGAAGCCCTACTCTTCAAAACTGCTTACATTTCAAAATGTGCACAAATATGCTTTAACCATTAAAAGAATGTGTACTTTAAAATGCATATCTTTAAAAATACACACAGCTGATGCAAACCTTTGGGGGAAATACAGAGATAAGTATAGATTTTTGTTTCATCAAAGAAACAAAGCTCACAATCTCAAGGCAGAATGAGCTTCGTGAGAGGCACGTTAGCCAACACACTTGGAGGAGCGGCCATCTCAATATTCAGAGCACAAGGGTTAGGTTCCTAAAGCATGTTCAAAGCCCACTGTCAACATGGGGAAAAACTCCGTAAAGGCTGGGGAAACCTCAAATGCTCAGTGGCCAGGGGAAAGTGTGTGGCGAAAGAGCATGCCTATGCAGGAGCAGACGGGGACCTCAGGTGAGCCAGTTCTGACCCTCTGGTTTGAGCTTCCAAACGCCTGGGTTAAGCTTTCTGCCTTAACCACTGCAGTCCCCCATAGCTTACTTTAATACATAGAGAGAGACAGAGAAACGATCTCCACAATCTGATCTGGCCCAGCCGTACTAAACACTGCTGGAGTGGGGGCGAAATCCTTCCTCCTGCTATTGGTGACCTCAGCCATTAATTCAAGCAGCTTGAATGCAGCCAGGGTAGCATGACAGAACGTTGCCTTCTCTATATCAAAGACATGCAGCACAGTGTGCTCAGCCTGTCTCCTTGCCCTCGACACCCTCTGTGGACCCCAGTGTTTATCCGTGCTGTACAGGGTCTAGAGGACTGTTGGTTTAAGGAGGCTTTACACTGAGTGGCTTTGTGTAATGGCTTGTCAGAGGATGGATGTTCCCTTCCTCTGAAATTAACCATTGGCAAAGACCACATTTCCCTCCTGTGTAGAAGGTCTGATGCCAAAAGCCACAAACCAGGGGGGAAGCTGTTATTTATACTAACTGCCTTCCCTGGCTCTCTCCCTCCCCCTCTCAGAGACCTGGGTCCACTCCTGGGTTTTGCAAGGTATTGCTGTAATCTAAAATATGGCAGCATGAAAAGTCTGGCATTGTCTGGACTCCAGAGGCAATGGATGCTGAGAGCAAAGTCAAAGCACTCCATGGATCTGGGAGACACTCCACTCCACCTTTAATGCACTGGGAGTTGGTCCTCAGAGGGCAGAATGCCTCTTTAAAGAAGCTCTCAGAGGTCGCATCTGTTGCCCTGGCTGGGGGCAGAAGGTTTTTTGACAGCATCCTAGGACTGAAATGGGCCAATGCCCTAACTCACTATATGGCCATTTCCCATGTTCACTGGCTCACGTCGTCCAAAGTTGTCTGCTTGGCTTGGGCAGTTTTCCCATCACCTTCTCCCTGTGCTTCGGATCGTCTCTGTGTAAAGTGGGTGCTCTCCCTGTGAGCTACACTCCTGAGAGACTGTAAACCAGTTCTGATTATAGCGTTGTGGGTTCACATGATTTCTTTAAGTCATTTCTTTATGACTTTTCTAGGCCAGTCCTAGCCCAACAGGCAGACACTCCACCAGTCTGTTCTGTTCAGAAATCCAACCCTTGGCCTTTGGACACACCATCAAACTGGCCTTTCCTCTAAATGTGTTGGGACTGTAATTCCCAGCATCCACAGGGGACGTTAGCGGTTGCAGTCCAACACATTCAAAAGGCACTTGGTTAGGCAAAGGCTGCACGAATGCTAACCACTGCTCCACCCTAGCAACCCTGAGGTTTGTTTGGAAATCCAGCCAGTGGGCTTTGAACATGCTTTAGAAATCTAACCCTTGTGCTCTGAATACTGAGATGGCCACTCCTCCAAATGCGTTGGACTACAAATCCTGGATGCTGGGAGCTGTGGTCCTAGATATTCAACAGATGCCCAGTCAGGGCTAATTCTAGCCCTAGCACCTTGCTTGCTCTTTTGGGAAATCCAGCGCATCGGCTTTGGGCACAGTACGACCCACTCTGGCCTGTACCTAACCAGGGACCCTTCCACTGTACTGCACCCCGGATGCCGGGAGTTCGGTCCAGCACGGTCAGAGGCAAGGCACCTCGAGGGAGCGCCCACGTCCAAGGGCCAGCTTTCCAGAGAGCGCGGCGCGGCGAGGCAGCGACCCGGTGGGCTAGCACTAGTCCGGGCGCAGGAGAACACCTTGAGGCGAGTCTTTCGCGTGCAGGACCCGCTCCTACAGGACGGGCGGGTGCGCAGCTCGGGTAAAGGCTGCACGAGCCCAATAAGCGACCATTACACCGCACTGCTCTCTGCGGAACGCCCGCCGCACGGCTCGGGCATGCGCACGGCGCCCAGCAGGCGGGTTTTCTTCCCCGCGGAACGGAGCGTGCCGAGCGCCGTTTCCGCTCGGAGCTCCGGGGAGGCGGACCTTTCGCGGGGGCGGGGCAGGCTTCCGGGAGGGTAACCGGGGGCGGCGGAGCCTAAGCAGTGCGGTGGCCCTTCGCTCTCGAAAGCAAAAGGAGGCACCCGCCTGCGTGCAGCAGGTCAGCCTCGGCGCTCCGGCCTCCGTGCCTCTGGCCTTGCAACCGGCTTGTCCCTTGAGCCCAGGCACTCGCGGGGGGGGGGGGAGGTTTGGCGGTTCGCGCTCTGCCCATGCTCAGAGGTACATTCGCCGTCCTTATGGCTTCATTTTTACCCCGTCCACGTTGCTCAGGAGAGCAACCATGAAATTCGCTGCAGCAATATGTTGTGACTGCCACCAATTTGGGCGGTTTTAAAAGAATGTTAGGAAAGCTCATGGAGGATAAGGCCATCAGTGGTTCTTAACATGCACCCCCCCCCCCCCCATTTTATCCTCAGAACATCTTTGTGAGGTAGGTTAGGCTAAGAAAGACGAGAATGAGTGGCCAGCCCCGGTCTCTTCCTGGTTCTAACTTGGCATTCTTACCACTGCTCCACAATGTCTCTCAGAAATTGTATGTTCATGCATTTCTACATGACTATGTTCGGGTTACACTGGAAAGTTAAAAGTGTTCTTATTGTTTAAGTGTAAAGGGTTGTAACAATGTGTGTGTGTGTGAAGTGTAAAGAACAAAGGTCTAATATGTAATATCCTGTAAAAAGCATAATGATGAGATTAAATGTGTTGGAAAATTTGCCAAAGTTACACAGTACATTAGTACACTATATAGTTGTAATTTATCACTGTTTTACACTTTCATAGAATCACAGAACAGTTGGGAAGGGCATTGGGTCCAACCCCCTGCTGTTCCAGGACACCAGTGTACACCATCCCACTCAAGGGCTGTCCAGTTTTTTCATGTATCTAGTGTGGGAGAGCCTATGACCTCTCTAGGCAACCAGTTCCATTGTCCTATTGCTCTGACAGTAAACTTTTACTGATATCTAGCCTGAATCTGATTTGCTACAGCTTGAATTGATTATTTTGTGTCCTACACTCTGGTATGAGTGAGAAAAGATCTTGTCCTTCCTCTTTGCGCCTTTGTTCCTTCCCTCATCTATTTTTGGTACCACTTGGACCAATGAAGGGTTCTGGGAAACTCAAAAGCTTGCATAGTTTTCTGGAACTTCGAATCACAACTATGAATTTTGGATCGCTTGCTCATCAGCCAACTCAGCAACTTTATTGTTGACATGGACCAGCATGGTTCGCTCCTTATTTTTAATTATTAATTTCATTTCTATACCATCCCATAACCAAAGCTCCCTGGTATTTTAATTACCTTAATGAATTGCTTGAATCTTGCATAAGTGTGTGTATATATAGAAAGGTGCATAAAGCACAATCCCGAGAGACTTAATTGGAGTGCTGAGTCCCTGTGGATATCTTTAGAAATGGAGGCTTCTATGAGACGCATTTGAGGAAAGGGGGAGTCACAGGAGGGAATGATTTGCTGCACCTCCATCTCTTTCAGCCTCTTTTGGTTTCCTACTCAAAATCAGTGATTAATTTCACTCACACAGAAGTGGCATGTTAAGGCATGACAGATTTGTTAATGGTGTTTTGGTATGTCTTGTGACAAGCTTCTTCTGAAGCTGATGCTTGCTCTGTGGTGAGACTGGGACGGATAATTGCACTGGGAGGAAATCCCCCACTGAACTGCTTTCCATACTGCTTGCTTTCCTCAGGTTTGGGCCTTTGCAAGACATGGATCCTGAGGATGCAGGAGAGATGGCAGCTGAGTTGCATGGACAGACTGTGGGTGGCTGGGGCCTTTTTCAGATTGCGGCCGGTGCTGGCTTGACTGCCTATGTTGTATGGGCAGGAATTCTCATGCCAGGATTCCGCAAAGTGCCTTTACGATTACAGGTAGGCAGCAGGACTTCCAAAGGGAGAGAGGCACCATGGCATGGTTCATTGATACGCGAATTGTAGAACTGGGTGGGAACCTCTGAAAGCAGAACTGTATATTATGAGACAAAAGTAACCACAGGTTGTTGGATTCAGAGGAGACAGCAAGTTGTTGTTAATCTAAACCAGAAGAGACAGGTTCTTAACTCCACAGAGCCTGAATGGGGGAAGGAAGGGAGGGGGGAGCACGTGAGCTCAGGGGCCTGCACACTTCACAGTCAATCAAGAGGTTGGTAAACCTGCCCATGGACACAGGTATACCCTGGACACGTTTCTTGGCACCCACTATGGTGCCCTTCCATCCCCACTACTTTTTAAAATTAACAAATTCTTACTAGCAGCTAGGATTACTGAGAAATATTGGTGTTGGGAACTGTAAGGTCAAAGGAATTGTTTAGCATGTTGGGATTCTAACCCCATCTCTGCCATTTGGACAGGTGACTTTACCTATGCCACTTTTCCCATGGCAGCCATTTTGTAGCAGTGGCTAGGACAACTGTTCAGATGGCCAGATGCGGTCAGGCCCTAAAAGGGTTGCCCACCCTGTAATGATCCAATATTTATCATGACACCCAGATTTAGCCAGCAAACGGGCTCTTTGTCTGGGAGCTTCGGGGCTTTTCGCAACGTTAGAGGGTTGTTTTTCTTTCTCTTCTCATGCAGGTGCCATATGTCCCAGCAAGTGCTAAGCAAGTGGAGAATGTTATGTCTTTGCTGAAAGGACGCTCTGGGAAGATGGTGGATTTGGGGTCCGGAGATGGCAGAATAGTAAGATCAATGAGCCAGGGTCAGCCCTGACCTGAAAGAAGTAGCAGCATAATAGAGTGGGATCCAGAACGTGTACTTCCGTTCACAGCAATACTTTTTTGTATAAAGGGCACTTCTGGATCCAGTCCATTCTTTCTCATCTTTTCTCAAATGCTAACACTGGCGAGGCATTATACATAGATCAAAATAAGGACAATTCTATTGAAGTTACTAAAAGGAAACTTGGAAGCCATTTACAGACTGAAGTGGTCCCCTTTTGACAGATTGAAGTGGTCCCCTAAAATGTTACAGTTAAGACCTAAAACCTTATACCTTTCAATTACTATGTGTTCCTTTAAACTGAACTTGGGCCATCTTGCGTACAAAGCATGGGGCTTCCCAAATTGCTGCCAGCTCAGATGCAGATGTCCAGTTTTCCCAACCAACCATCCTGCCAGGATATGAGACTGCAGCATCACTGGTAGCCACATTGAGTGGGAGTGATGGAAATGATAGTCCTTTGACACATCCAGGGGATACCAGGTTGAAGAAGACTGCTGTGGCCTTACCTGCAAGGACCATTTGCAAGGACCTGTTCCCAAGGAAATTATGCCTTATTAGGGAATGATCCATCAAATGTGGGCTATTCATCCAGCATACTTTCCTGAAGTGTCTTTAAAAGGAATGGCTGTTTAAAATTTTTTAGATAGCAGGCTGGTTTACAGCTTTGCCACAGCTCAGCATGTTTTATTTATCTGATAAATGGATGATGGAGTGAAGTGATGGGAAACATCTTGCAAAACAATAGCTGGTCAGAGTAAATAATAGTAAATAAACTGCCTGACCTGCTGTGAGACAGTTTCCTTTGCTTCTGAAGAACAATGAAAAGCCTTGGCTATTGGGTAGTACAGGAATCTAATAAAGAAATTAACACACACACAATAAATTATGATCTGGCGGTGCTTCCAGGTATTAGAGGCCTACAATCAAGGACTCAGTCCAGCTGTTGGCTATGAACTGAATCCGTGGCTGTTGCGACTGTCCAGCTATTGTGCCTGGAAGGCTGGGCTTTACGGGAAGGTTTCTTTCCATCGGGAAGATCTTTGGAAGGTGAGACAGAGACTCTCGCAACTTGGCATTGAGGTTCCTGCTGTAGTGAGGGGCACAGGAACACAGTGGCTTTAGGTGTTTGCCATGGAGAGGGAAAGAGTGCATGCAGTATAGATCAGCCAGTGTCCATTTGTGTCCTACGTGGGCAAATTTGAGAGGTCCAGGGGCCACCCCCCGTTCCCGCCATGAACCTGTACTGTGCAAGCCACACATCCTTCCTGAAAAACAGGCGGAGGGGATTTAAAAACAAAATGGCATTAAGAGCTGCTACAGACTGCCCAAAATGTCAAAGTTACTGTGCACACAAGCTAGTGGTTGATCCTTTTGTGTCTTGTACCAGTTTTAGATGCCATTTTCTTCCATCCGCCTCCCCAAAAATACGCTTTTCTTTATTTTTGCTGTGGCCCAAATGTTGGTGGGGGTGGGAGCTGCATGTTTTCCATTCATAAAATACCTTGCAGCTTAATCGTGTTTCCAGGTAGTTGGAACTCAGGGTCAAGTTATACGGTCAGCAGAATTGAGCAGCATAATTCCTTTAAGACTATCCGGCAGATATAGTCTTAAACATTTTATAAAACATTGTCCTTGCATTAAACCCCTACTTCCAGGGTAAGCTCAGCATTCCAAAGATGTTCCTGGGCTCAGGTGTAACTCTGAGAAACTGATGAGATGTTACAAGGAGCCGGAGATCCCAGGAAGGTTTGGCGGGAGGGCTGCTGTCACTTGTAGCTGTCCTCTCGCCTTTCTACAGGGCCATAAACCTGCACACATGAAGCTGTCTCCTAGGGATTCCAGCCCCAGGTCCACCTAAACCAGTGCTCTGTGTTCCTGACTGGCAGCAGCTCTCTCCAGCAGCAGAAGCTTTCCTGGCCCCTCGGTTAGAGATCGACCTGTACCTGGAGATGCCAAGGATGCAGGGATCCATGGCGTACAAAGCTATCCCGTGGCACCGAGCCATGGACTCTCCCAAAACGTTTGAGAAATCCCAGGGGGCTGCCGTCTTTTGCGAAGCCGCTGTGCAATAAATCAGACCACTGCTCCATCTTGCCCGGCAGTGTCCGCGGCAGCAGGCCTGCCCAGGTCTCAGGCAGAGAAAGTTCTTCCAAGCCTTTTTACTCAAGTTTGCATTCATTAATGATGTGCAGGAGTGAGCTGGAGGGCTTAGGGGTTAGGCTGGGTCAGGGCGCTGAACCAGTTTCAGCCCGAGGGCCAAATCCCATCGTGGGCAAGTTCTCTGGAGCCGCATTCCCCTGGTGGGCAGAGCTGAAGGCAAGTGGGGCAAGGCCAAATACCTGAAATACCACCACGTTCTGACTTGCACCTCTTCCTGCCCGGCGACGAAGCTTTAGGGGAGGCATTTCCACTTTTTAGAACTGGGGAAACCCCACAGGAAGCTGGGAGGTCACCCAATGGTCAGCAGTTGGGGGAAAGGAAAGCGGGCAGGAAATGGGCTGTGGTCATCTGAGCCACCATGGCAGGTAGAGTTTGGGCCACAAACTAGGGCTCTACACCCTGCACCAGGTTCAATAATTTTCCTCTTTGTGTCTCTCTCTTAAAACAAAGGTGAATCTGTCAGACTGTAAGAATGTAACTGTGTTTCTTGCACCTAGCGTGGTAAGTAAAACATTTGCCCAGGCACAAGTGCATGAGGGGGGCATTTTCCCACTGAGAATAAATGAACGCTGATGGACGGGGCATTCAGAGCTGTGGGAAATGCTTGACTTTCCCCCAGATTAAACCAGGCTTGCCGGTAGCTACTCCACTTGGCCACTCTTGGTGCTGGGTGGCAGTGATGAGGATGATTTGCTGTGCGTGGACGAGGCAGACTAGCGATTATTTTAGAAGCAGGATAAATTTTGAAATGAATATCCCACGTAGCAAGAGGAGCATTTTACAGTTTTCAGAATCCTTTTGAGTTTTGACTGGGCTCACAAATAAGGTTGGGCTGTCTCTCCTGTCTACTTTCTGTTTAGCAGAACTGACAGGATGTGTGGGCGACTCTGAAGGTGGAGGGCCAATTCTCAGGCCGGGAAGAGGAAGTTCCTTACTAGGATTACTGGAAATTGCCGCTTGCCAGGGCGTCTGGGTCTCCAAAGCCTCTTTCTCCAGCTTGGGTCCTGTTCTGTTTTGGGCTACAACTCCAAACATTCTGGCCATTGGCCATGCTGGCTAGGGCTTATGGGAACTGAAGTCGAGAACATCTGGAGAGCTTTGGGTTAGGGAAGGATGCCTCAGATGGACCCAGAAGCTTGGCTAAATTGCAGTTCCCAGAACGTTCTTGTGGGCGGGGGAAGGCTTGGAAAGAAAGAAAAGCTATCTCAGATCAAAATGAGTGGGTTGAGCAAACGCATCTCTAAACAAGAACACTCCATTCAAAAAGAATTTCTGTATTGAGAGGAGTAGGTGCATTCTTTTAAAAAAAATTCTTAAACAGATTGCTTTATTAAATAGATCACTGCAAATAGTCTAAAATATCTTAGAAACAATAAAAACATTGAGACCCATTCATATAGAATCACAATAAGCATTATAAGCTTATAGCAATAAGCTCAGCATTAAGGACTGTTGAACAAAGAAGCAATTAAGAAAATGGACTATCAGTCCTCTTACCTTGCTCATTGTTCCAGGATCACCTAAATGACTCCCATTCCTGTTCACATTGACTTGTTTCCTATCTGCTCTGCTTCTCTCCGATCTTCAGAAAATCCATGTAATTGTGCTTAATTATTTTAGAAAATCTGACCAGATATTGGTGGGGCAGTCTGCTTATATGACCCTGATATTACGCCTGCAGCATTGGTCACCACTGCATTCCTGAGCTTAAATGGAAGTCCCATTTTTAATCTTGAAAACCCAGCCCACGTTTCCTGAAAGGCTGCCTTCACGTGTCCCAACCTGCCCCTCCGCTGTGGCCAGCAGCCAGAGCCCCTCTCACCTGCTTATTCCCGGGGGCAGTCAGGCTGGTGAGTCCAAGGGAGAGAACCTTCTCATGGGCAGCCCCACCCATCTACAGACAGCCGCTCTCAGGGTTTACCAGGGCCCTTCTTTGTAGGTCTTCAGGAAGGCTCTGACGATCCACCTGCTTTCATAGGCCTTCCCGTAATCTGTGGGCTGCAGCTTTTGTTGTTGTACTGAATTGTATAGTATTTGCTTGATTATTTATTTATTTATTTATTGCTCTTCTATCTGTTTTTGCATATTTTTTTTATTTCTTGCATGTCTGCCTCCTTGAAAGGATATTACCCTTAGAGGATGCCTAGAAGTCATTTCCAATAAATGCAGAAAGAGAAGAAGGAATCTAGGGCATGAAGGCAACCCCAGTTAAAAGCCACGGCTTCTTTCTGAGCTTCGGCTGACTGGGGGTAGAAGAGGATCAGTGGCCGGCTGTCATTCCAGAGCGATGCAACCAGGCCTTAAAATACAGAATGCTGTCCTAACATCGCCTCTGTCACTCCCTTCCCAGATGCTGCCCCTGGAAAGCAAGCTGCTCATGGAGCTTCCAGATGAGGCCCGTGTGGTCACTGGGCGCTTCCCCCTCCCCACCTGGACACCCTCCAGCGTGGCAGGGGAAGGTGTGAACCAAGCCTGGGCTTATGATATCCGGACTGTACGTCAGACCCAGAAGGACAAGACAGAGGGAAGCCCAGTATGATGGCCGGTGGACTCTGAACGTTCTTCGTAAGGCGGCCGAGCATTCTTTCGGGCTCCTGTTAAGGCTGAACGTGCCTTTTTCCGTTGCTGACCTCAGCAGCCCTTAGAGCTCCAAGGTATGATAATATGATTTGTCTAGAGAAATCACGTGGACTGGGCTTCCTTCCATCCCAATTAAAACATCCTGGAGATTCTCAAGGACTTTGCTCGGAAGATTGCACAGATAAATCCACTTGTTTCAATCTAGTGTACATTTCCTTCTTTGGTTGTACCAGGACCTTGCTATGTGTGCTGCTTGATTCATTACCTTTGTGGCAGAGTGGGGAGGCTCGACCGGGATCTAGTTCTTGTGGATTGAGGCGGGTTGAGGAAGGAGGAAGGAAGGCGAGATCCTCGGGACTGCGCTGGTGGCCATGTACTGACGCATTGCAGTAAGCTGCAAGGTCCACGGAGGGCTTTCTTGCAGGATCCGTTTTAAAAGACACTTCATGACCACCAGAACTGATCCTGGAGTTTGTTGTAAGCGTTTGCATTCCGCAAAGGCAAGCAGTATTTAAATGAGAATCAAGCTGCTTGCATTTGGAGCTCAAGAGCCCTTGTGGGCTGAGTGCCTGCGACCGGGGTTCAAATTCTTCCTCCTCTATTGCTGTTCAGAGCTCAGATGTGGTCCAGTTCATTGTCTGTCATTCTAACGTACCTCACATGGTTCGTTAGAGGATAGAATCTCACCGGCCCGGTGGAGAATAAGCTTGTGCCCTGCTCTGAATGAGCTCCTTGGAGAAGAAGGGCAGAATAAAATAAAAGTAAAAATAACTTCTGAAAGACTTCTTTGAGATAGCTGACTTCTCACATCCTCTCTAGAGGGACAGAAGTACACCAGATGTTGCAGTCCAGTTGCTGTTCAGGCCAAGATGCCAGTCCACTCGAGGATGTGACAAATTCCTTCTAAAGCTTTTGATACAGAGATTATGTTTCATTGCTGAAATTCCTCTTGGGTTTGGCGATCACTGGGCCATCGGCAGTTCGAGCACTAAATGTGCAAGGGCCATCTGTTCCATGAAGTTTCCTCAGCCTCAGGATCTCCTGCTTGTACCTGCAGTGCAAGGAGGACAAAAACAGCATTCAGCTGGTGGTGCTGCACTCACAGCTGGGCAGAATCCAGTGTCACATGTCCAGGGGTGAGGTGGCAAGTACTCCGAGCTGAGGAAAATGGGAGTCGGGCAAGCAAACTGCAGGGTATCAGTCTGAGAAATGTGTGTGGTTTTCCTCAACAGGCATGAACGGAGGGAGTAGAATGGACTTCGGCTTATGTAGTGAGGAGAAAAGGGCATTGGTTCTCCAAGGTTAGCTGGTTCCCAGGGCCGGGAGGATCCGAGGCCATGGCGTTTGTGCTTTCCTTTAGTTCCGTCCGCCAGCCGATGCTCCCATAGTGTAAGGCGGCAAAGGTGGCAAACTGAAGACTAGGGTGGCAGGGTCTGGGAGCCTTACATCCGAATTCGTAAGCCGGTCTTAGGCAAAGAGGGCCCTTGCAGTGGTCAGAGAGAGCAGAGCGTGGCCGCTTTCAGGCCAGCTGGACCAGGTGACTTGAGGAGCCTGTAGTGCCCTGCCTAGCCTTTTATGGGTCGAATCAGGGTGTCTTCCTCAGTCTGAGAAACAACCCTGAGGAATGCTGTTGAGCCGCCTTGCCCCCACGTCTGCCTCTTCTGCAGCCAGGCCTCCAGCCACCCCTGGGTCCCAGGGCCCTCTCCTGAGGCTAGCCAAAGCCTTACACAGAGTCACTGAGACTTGGTGTCTCGTCTCCTCTTGAGTTGCTTTCCCAGAGGAAGCGGGAGGGAGCCGGGAATAGCCCCAGAGAGTCCCACAGCTCCCGGCATTTCCCAGCTGGAGCATGCAACGTCCGTGGGCCTTTTTTATGCACCTTCGGAGTGCACAATTGGGCAGAAAAGAGGTTCCAGCATTCCCGGCCAGCTGGCCTGGTTGGGGCATGCCAGGAATCGCAGGGCTTCTGCATCAGGTTGCATCCCAAGAGGCAACTGTAGACCTGGAAGTCTCTGGTTTTGCTGTGAATTCACTAGGTGACCTCAAGTCAGCCAACCCCTCTCAGCCACTCGCCACGCTTGCAATACAGAGGATAGTCATTCTGACCTACCTTACAGGGTTGTTTTAAGGATTATAGATAGATAATGCATGTAAAGCACTTTGAACTCTGAAAAGGTACTTTATAAATAGTCGTTGCTGTAATGGCAACACATGAACTTGCCAGAGCACAAGAAGGAGTTCGGTAGTCAAACCGGCGCATCAGCCTCACCTCACAAGATGCTTGTCTATGTACTCCTGCAGCTCGGCCACCTGCTCTTCTGCCACCATTGCCCGCGTCAGCAGCTGGCTCCGCTCCCGTTCCAGCTCCTCCTGAAGTTGTGGGAAGGCAACCAGAGAGGCAAGAAGAAGGGAAAGTGGCCGGGATGGGTGGGTGCGTTGGTAGGTGGGCACTTTTATAAACTGCTTTTCCATTAGGATGACTTCAAACAGTCCCAATTCTTTAACAAATAAATACTAGAATCTAACTGAAGAAAGGGTGGGGAATTTGTGGCCTCTTATGTTGGATTCAAATGCCCATCAAGCCCAGCCAAAATGGGCAGGGGCCAAGGATGATGGAATGCTTAGACAGCAAGACGTCTTCTGAGCTTTCCGGAAAATTACGAATGAGTGCAGCGCCAAAGGCACTTCAAGATGTAAACAGCCTTCTCGAGGCCAGCACCCCCCATCCCCATGTGTGTGGGGAGCAGCATCACTGCCCAGATAACTGAGTTAACTTTAAATTTGATGCCCAGCATTTGAACATTTTGGATCTTGGTCTATTCGAGGAAATGGATTTGCATGAAAATTGCCTGCATCCAGGCCATCAGCACTGCTGCCTTGGCAGATAATCTTACCTGAGTGGTATGAGTGAACTCCCGGAGCTGCTTCCTAAGTTCGGCCCAACCTGCCTCATCCAGCACACTAAGGGATGATTAAAAGAAAGAGAAGGCTTTTTTAATGTTCAGGGAAAAGCAGATGTGAACAGCAACGGGCACCGAGGCATGCTTCCAGTTCGTGTGCTTGGCCACCCTCTTCCTCCTGCCTGGCCTCCACGCTGCCAGTGCGGGGAAGCCGGTTCTGGAGATGTTCCTGGGGGCTGCGTTCAGTGACAGGCAGAGCCGATGAAAAAGGGATGAGGCCTAAAGAGTACAAAATGCCAGTATACTGTTGCTTCGAGATCCTACTTGCAGTCGCTAACCTTTAGGAGAGGCATCTTAACCTTTCACAATGGAGGGAAAACTGCCAACGCTGGGAAACTGCAGAGGGAAGGGGGGCAGCCACCTGGGGAATCCCAGGAGGGCTGGGTTTGGGCTCCAGATCTGAGATCCCCACCCCTGCCTTGGCATGAAGCGGGAATCATTCCCGAGCTGTACGGTGCATCTGTGTTCGCCCACCCCTGGCCTGCAGGGCCTGCCTTTCAGGGCAGCAGCATCTTGTTCTTGCGCAGGGCCTGCTGCTGCAGCTGCTTGCTGTCCTTGCTTTATCGCTGGCCCTGTGGAGTGAGCAAGCTCCCCTTGGCAGCCCTGCCAGCTGGGCCTGGAGGAAGGGGGCAAGTACGGGGCAGAGATGGTGGGGGAGAACAGAACCACTTCCTTCTGAATTGTCAGTGTCAAACTGAAAACCCAAACAAAACACAAAAGGAGGGGAAATGAAGTATTTTATTTTCTGAAATACTTAAATGTTCTTATATGAGGTTTCAGTAAATCTATTCCATTCATATATACTGTGTAGCCCTATATATCTTATTTATGTAGCAAGATATATTTCTGTTATTGAAGATACTCATGCAAGGGCACCAAAAGAGCAACCCAAGAATGCATGTAAATTTTGCCTAGGAGCCACCCACTTGAAAGGGAGTTTTGCCAGGTTCTCTTTCCACTGTGCTGCTGCAGTCAGCTCTGTATCCTTCCAGGGGTATAAGCACCAGTCTTCACGCTGCCAAAGGTCATCTGGAGGGTATGTTGTGGAACAGCAAAAGGGGCTTGGCTCAGTGGGAGAGCACTGCTTTGCCTGTACTGGGTCCCAGTTTCAGTCTCCAGTTAGCACTGGGAAGGCTCCCTGTCCTAGCCCTGGAGAGAGTCAAGGGTGTTCTGGCTGCAGAAGAGGCTGGCTTTAGCACAACCGCTGTGGAGGGCACCCGACTGGGGGAGGTGCTGCAGACCATGCTGAGCCTGGCTGGGTGGCTGAAACCAGCCTTTCGTCTTCCTCAGAGATGATCGAATGAACCATTGCAAACTCCATTGGCCATTCCAGCTACTGCAGGAGCAAACTGTTCTATACAAATGTGGGCCTCGTCGGGTGAGAAACGCTGGGGTGGGGGCCCTAGGATGTCAATTCACGCTTTTAGTTTTAATTCTCATTTTGTCCTTACAGTTAAATCCACTTATTTCAGCACAGTGGCTTACGTTGTGAGGATAGGTGATCTAATTGTGAGGAAATATGCAAGCAAGCCGTGGGAAAGTTCTTTCTGGCCTGTGCAGGGACTGCATGAGCAAAATATAGGTCACATTTGATGTTTGGGGGAATTCTTCTGACTGTATAGAAAGGGTGGTATGAACTGTGGAATGCCTTGTGCTCAACTCTGCATACATATCAGCTTCCTGGGATGGCAAGAGCTCCCTCTAGAGAGGGCCAGTGAGCCCTGAGAAATTCAGGAGAAAGGAAGCTGGCCTTTTCTGCATTTCAGCATTTTTTCTGCTTGTCTACATTTTCCCTGAGGTAGGAGGGAGAGGAGGGGTACCCAAGGGACCCAGGGTCTCCAGCTGTTGATAACCAGATGCAAAAAAACAAAAGACATCAGTGTCCCAGTGTCGTTTGTCAAATAGGAGTAAGATCCAAGCTTCACCTGCTGAAATCCTTTCCTATACACTGTCCATACACTGTGTAGGGTATGTGAACAGGATATATAAGGCAAGGACAGCTTTGTAGGACCGCATCTAGCAACAGATGGTACTCACTGGGGAGGAGATGTTCCGGAGCCCTTGTTTTCACTTAGCTTTACCTGCAAGGCAAATAAAAAAGAAAGGAGGGAATCTGATCAAAACATGCACTTGAAAGTCCTTGCCAGTTTGCTAGACTGGACTTTCGAGAGAGGTCTGCCTGGCACTGTCATTACTTTCATTTTGGTGCAGGCAAACACTGTCCTCTTTCACAGGTATTGTGAGACCTGATTTTTTCCAACTGATTGTAAGAGCTCACTCTACTGCCTACTAGCAGTTTTTCCCCGCTTTCTTCTCCCCCCACCCCTGTTAACTTGGAATTGTAATTTTGGCCTGTATTTTACTGTTGTTCGCCACTTAGACAGCCCTGTCAGGTTAGCCAATAAATAAATAAGGGCCCCTGAAGACCACTCAACAATGAGCAACAGTCTTGAGCAATGTGACTGAAGTGGTATAACAGCCAAGAGAATTGCTTCTCGGCCTTTCATTCATTCATTCATTCTCTTTTCCTTCCATGGATCATTTTAAAGCTTTGTGGTTAAATTCAGGATTGTTCCATTTAGGACTAACAGTGGAATGTACAGTCTTTGTAGGTAGCTAAATGAAGTTGCTCTTGCCTTTAACAGGAAGGCCTCTTGCCTTTAACAGGAAAAAAAAAATCTACACATGAACTGACCCCAGGTGGGGATGTGATGGCTGCTTACAGCTTCACCTTCTGAATTCCTGAAGTTTAGGGGCTTTTCTTATGCACTCGTCATTGGCTACTCAGCCTTGTATATGGGTTCTTTAGACAAACTGACCCTCCAGTTTTGCTTCTATGTCTAACCGCTCCTATTTGGAAAGTTTCTGCGGGGCAGGGAAGGGATAGTATTTAATTAGGAAAGCAAAAGCATGTGCGATTTCCTCTTGTGTTTGTGCTATGCTGCTGTAGCAGCACGCCAGCTAGAGATTATGTAGAGGAAAAGTAAGCAAGGGAATGTTCTTTGCATCACATTCAAGTCCTTCTTGTTACACAATAGAAATGGAACTGTAGGGTCACAAACTCATCTAAGGAACCTTTAAGCAACCATAAGTAGCAAATGATGAATGCATGATCAGTGCCCGAATCGAAAGGCCCGAATCCTGGAACAGCTGTTGGCCATGAGCAGACTCCCTAATGCTACTTGAAAGCCGGTAGATAAATAATGCAACTGAAACATTTGTCCTCCAAGGAGGAATGTCTGTGGATAGCAGGAGTCTGGGAGCAGCGCTGGGGGAATCCATAGCTTCCGTGTCCTATGTACATAGGCTTCACTGAGAGTTTTGGCTGGCCACCTTTGGAAACAGGCTCCTGGGCTGGATTTATGCCTGTGAACACACCTGAGAAGGTGCAGCGCTTGCTGTAAGGGGCCGGCGGGGGTGGGGGGGTGAGTCTCTCGGATGGATGGGTTGGGGCTGCAGGCAGTCAGACCAAGCACAGGCCGGGCTCCTTCGCTATGTGTGGGGCTGCTGACACCACGGCAGGAGACCCAACCAGGTGGCCCAGTCAGGTAAGCACTGCCAAACTGCTGGACAGAGGAACTGACCCAATTATACGTATTTTGCATGTGGTGATGTTTATGCACAGATGCAAATTTAGAAATGGCTGCTATAATTAGAGAAACAGTCCACCTTGCCATCGTGTGGAGGGTGCTGCCCAGATGACCTGCATATTTATTTAAAACATTTTGGCCCAGTCTTTACCCAAACGGGTCTCAAGACGACTCACAAATTGAGGAACCCAAGGTGGCTTAAGTAATCCCCTTCCTCTCCATTTTATCCTTACAGCAGGATAAGCTTTGGCTGAGATCCGGCTGAGAATCAGTGAGCGGCCCAAACTCACCCAGTGAGCGCCATGGCCAGGTGGGGACCAGAGCCCAGGTCTCCAGAGTCCAAGGCCGACTGTCAAACCGCTACGCCATACTGACTGTTGGTAGGTATCGTTAGACTGGGCTTAGCCCAGGTAGCCATTGAAACCCAGGATGGTCCTCTGCACAAAAGAAGGCACCAGGCCTAGGCTGGGGCTGCAGTCTACTTAACCGGAAGCTTGAGCTCTCCTCTCCTGTCCAGCACTGACTTTGCACGACCCGTGTTTGCGGGGGTTCATTGCATCCTCTTGGCCACTCCAACCTCACTCCACATCCTCTACCAGAAGGGCCCACCATGCAGGCCACGAAAAGGAAAGCGATCCAGCCGGGCTCACCTTCATCTGCAGCTCGTGAAGCTGCCCCTCCAGGCTGGCTTTGTCTTCTCGCAGGCGGTTCAGCTCCTGAGAGGTGCTTGTCAGCAGCTCGGTGTCTGTGATGCTGAAAATGTGCTCTGCCGGGCCCGGGTCCATGTCGCTACTGCCCAGTGACCGGATCTGTTCACGCTGCATCCTGTCAAGCGACGGGGGAGGTTACTGAGCAGCCCAAGTCTTGGTGGGGACGTGGGTTCACCAGTCAGCCCGTCCACAGCAGCCACTGCCACTGCCCATGGGGGCATTCAGCTCGGAAGCTTCCCCCAGCCTGGTGCCTTCCAAAGGTTTTGGGGTAACCCTTTTATTCTTGGCCACTGGCTGTTCTGGTTGGGGTGATGGAAGCTGTACTTAAACAATCTGTAAGGTGCCAGGATAGAGGAGGCAGATCTAGGGGGAGCTGTGCCAGTCCCAAACAGGCATAGCATTCCACAGTCCTGCACAAGGGGTGAGCAACGTTAAAATGTGCCTTGGGGGGCAGAACCGGAGAATCCCAGGTTCCATTTCTTTAAAAGACTGCTTCTAGCCTAGTCATTTGTGAAAACGACTAGGCATTCACAGATGGCCCAGCGAGCTTTCCAAAACCAGAGAGAAGCCCCAGGTGTTAGGCAAAAAGAGACCAGCCAGGATCAGCCGTGCAAATTGAAGGGAACATAAACAAATTTGCTTTATGTGTAAAATCTATATGTGCTTGTGTTCATAGTTTTTCTGGAGGCAGGATGTGGCCTTTTTTACTATGAAATACACACAGCCCTGGTTCACTGCCTTCTCTGACGTGGCTGTTCCCTTTTTTCAGTGTAATTGTGTTATTACAGCAAAAATAGGGCAGAACCTTGCCAGCTTAAACATCTGTAAAAATGCACATATAGAAAAAACGGCTTTCAACCCCAGTTATAGGCCTTTTGTCTGTCTAATTTTCATAGGGTTGGACCCTGAGATATTTATTATGGAACGGGGCCTAATATGAGCCACGTGAGCCTAATAAGATCTGCTGGGGTCCCCATTTCTTCGGGTCCTCAGCTCTCGCCTGGAGCTCTCATCACTTCCCTAGGGTACAGCAAGCTTTTGACCCCTGGTCAAGAGCTCATCAGTTTAGTGGCCTCTTCAACACATCTGGTGAAGTGGACTGTGGCCCATAAAAACGTAAGGCCTGATGGATCTGTTAGCTTTCAGAGTGCCAGCCGTTGTTGCATGGGCTATCCCCTCTTGAGATCCATGCGTGATGTAGCCCTTATAGCAGGGTGGCCAGCGAGCAGCTCTCTGGATGCTTTAGCTTGCAGCTCCATCAGCCCTGCTGGCGTGGCCACTGGTGAGGGACCATGGAAGGCCACAGGCGGCCAGCATGCAACCTCTTCTTGTGGGCTCTCCATTGGACATCAGGCTGGCCCATGTGGGGACAAGAGCACCAGACCAGAGAGGCCTGTGGTCCGATCCAGCAGGCCTCTGCATATCTTCTTTGCTTCCAGAACGGCTTGCACCTCCACCCAAACCCGCTAGAATATAACTGCTGGTGGTACGTGAATTGCCGCTTTCCCAGGCAGTCTCTTTCCCTACCTGTATGCGATCAGCAGGCCCTCGTGCTTCTTGACCAGCTTCTGCAGGCGTTTCTTGTAGCCCCGAGCAGCTCCGGCCAGCTGCTCCTCCCGAGACCTGTGGGAAGCCCGGATGTCCTTCAGCAGGCTGTCCACGAAGTGCTTCATGTGCGCAGGCTCCGGAGGTGCTTTGCAGGTCCCCTTGGTGTTGGCAGCTGTCTTGCTGTCGGTGTATTCCTGGGGACACAGCCGTGGTGCTTCACTCACTCGCCCCGTTTTTTCCTGGACTGCAGACGGGACACCCTAGCCTGCCACGGGGGATTCATCAACTAAAGGTTCCTGTGATCTTTAAGTACCAAAGCTGCCCACTGTGTCTCTGTCCATGGTCTATGCACATTATTTTCCAACTTCTGTTCAGGCCGTTTTTCCACACTCGGCATCTGATATCTTTGGAACACAGAAAGCTGCCTTGTACCCAGTCAAAAACCTCATGCACAGGGGCCACTCCCGGCCCATTTGGGATCTGAATTAGGCCATCCAGCGTTCCTCTTCCCCAGCTTTTCCTCCGACTACCTTTTATTTGGTAGTTTCTCAGCTTTTGGGCAGCTTTTCTGCAATGCTAAAAGTTTGCGGTTAGGGGTAGGGCATTTTCTGCAACACTGGAGGTTTTGAGGATGCAGCAGCAGGAGTCAGGTGGGAATGTTTTGTATAGCTTTGAAAGCTACTTTGAAAAGGTGAGGAAGATGCCTTCAGAGGAGGAGGGGGAAGAGGGGCCAGAAATTATGGACCCAGAATTAGCATCAGCTAAGGAAGGAGGAGCAGCATGAACTAAGGCACCAGTCAAAGAGGTTCACCGGCCAAGTGGCTTCCCCAGAAAAGGACCATCCCAATCGCAGGATGGGTTTAGCACAGCTCCCTGAGCAGGAAGGCTGTAAGCAGCCTCCTTTTCCCTGGTATGTAAGTTTTCTTTCCGTAGGCCACTTTGTCATGGCCCACTGACAATGCATCTTGAGTATTTTATGGCTTCTCTTCGTAACTTGACCTGCTGCAGAGCCGGAAAGAAGGCTAAATCTTTTGCATCTTTTTTGCATAAATAAAATTAGCTACTTTGAATCCTAGTCAGTTACAGCAAAGCTCTGACCCTTGAAATTTAAATAGTTTCTTACCTTTGTAGCACATGTATATATCAATATTAGCGCCATAACTTTAAGCTCCCAAGCCTTTCATGCCATGGGCCACGTTGGGTAGGCTTGAATTTAGAAGAAGGAGCTTGTATCCCAGACTAGCCAGTGTAAAATAAGAATGAATGCCGGAATTCTTACGAATTCTTTCCCTCTTAAAGAGATTAGTCAAAACAACCCTTCAAGGAGAATGACCTAGAAATAAACTTTCTAAGTGTTACGTGTGTTTGTGTAAATACAAAATTGGGGCTCTTTCTCTCTGACTGCACGTATTAAGGACCGTAAGCTGTCCTGAGATGCTATAAGGGACCACATACAAAAGTTTTAAATAAATAAAATAAATATTAAACTCCCGCAAAAGATCCGAGCAAAAGACTTTGAGGCAACCCAGAGTGCAAGCACCTCCTTTGAGATGTGCTGCCCCCCCACCACCAAGATTACCTGGCATAACAGTTTCATCCCAAGACTGAGTGGGCCAAAAGGCCGAGCATTTCACATGGCCACGCCAAAAGGCCGAGCATAATACCATTGGCACAGGGGCACTTTTTTAAAATTTAAAGCAAACTGCATAGATGGATACAAACTTATATAGATTTGTACAAATTCCGCCCTCTTTGGGCTGGGTTTGGGGTTATTTTTGCTGAAACTGCCTTTTGTTTGGTTAGGTGGGAGAACCAGTGGAAAAGATCACTTATCAATGCTCACCGCCAGGTCCGTAATGTACTGAATGAGCCGAGAGCGGTACTCCTCGTTTAACTCCTTCAGTTGTAGCTGCAGCCGGGAATTCTCAGCTTCCACTTCTTGGAGCTGGTTCTGAGAGGAAAGCAGTGCCTGTGGTCCAAGCAGACAAAAAGGGAACCGGGCAATTAGCAGGCTGTGTATCATGGCACGTCTGCCGTTCAAGCAAAGGGCTGCGCCCGGTGGTGTAGTGGAGCCGTGGCTTGCAGGGATGCCGGGTCCGCACTCTTAGTGGGGGCTTGGCTGAAGCCTGCCTCCCCTCTCGGGATTCTTCGTTCCCTCTGGGCTTATCTGCCCGCTTCACCGTGGCTGGAGGGAGACGACTTTTTACAGCAATGCACTGTTCCTTCTTGAGCCACACGGTTTTGGTGTGGCCGAGTTTTGCATGGGCAGTTAAGACCCATCAGCTTGGCTAAAGACCTGCTCTTGGTGGAGAGGAAGACCAAGACCGAATCAGCGGCCTTCCTTTTAGGACCCTCCGTGGCAGCAAGACTCTGGGGACGGTCTCTGGTATGAGAACAGCCAAGCTTCTAGTCCGGGACTTGGCTTTTTGTGGCAGCTTGGCAAATACCTCTGGGAAATGTGCCACCACCCTCCTGTCCTGTTGCTCCGGAGGGCCCAAATGGACGCCACACATGCCGCCCATGTTTCCGGCTTGGAGGCTGTGAGTACCACTGATCCTGCGGCAGAAGCAGACCCCCCCGCCTACCAGTGGCTCGGCCAGCAGCCCCAGCATTGGCAGACGGAAAAAGGCTGAGAAGCCCCCAAGAGACTAGGGTGTGCTGAGCAGTTGCGCCTCTGTGCATGCACAGAGATGCGTGTGCGTATGCATGCATGCGTGAAAGGAAAGAATGGGTTTCTCCCCTTTTGGGGTGGCGGGATGCCCACTGCCGGCATCCAGACCCTGCAGTACTGGCCATAAGGCAGTTCAGGCCAACAAACGGTCCCAAAGCTGTTATAAAAGGTGGCTAAAAACTCTTCTGCCAGACCATCCTTCCTTCTTTTCTGTCCTCTGATTGCTTTCTTCCATTAATCAGGATGCTAGTCCTCATAATAATGTCCTATGTACTGATTTGATCTGCTGCCGCTTCAATGTTTATCATCTCATCTGGTTTATTTCACAGGAAGCTGCTGCTTTCGGGGCCTTGAGCCTCCGAACAAATTCTGAATGAATCTGTTGCATTTACACTTCTGCCTCCCTTTGCCGGACGTCTCCCTTCCTCTTCTCTCCCGCAACCTCACTTTCCCCATTTTTTTAACCAAGGCTTCGCCGAGGTCTCCGTACCGCCGACTGTTCCGCCAGCTTGTGCTGCGTGGTCCGAATCGCCTTTTTGGCCTCTTGCAGCTCCTTCCCCATGGTCACCCTGGGAACACAAGGAAGACGGTGAGCGCGCTAACCCTGCAGGGGACCATCGGGCGGCCGGGGCCTGCAGGGGGCTCCGGAGTGGGGCAACCCGCGTCTGGCCACATCAGCCGATCGGAGCACGTAGATGAGCCCCGAGAAGCCGAGACTGCTTCCCCGGAAGCTGCCTGCTCCTGCTGAGTGCAAGGAAAGGACCAGCTCTGTCGCTGACCCAGGTGGGGTCGGCTGCCAGGAGGGGCTCACGGGTGGAGCACCTTCCGGGCCAAACGTGAGTAGGACAGACTGGGTGGATCCCCATTCAGCTACAGAACTTACTCAGCCCAATTCTTAGCTCCCCCCCCCCGCCCACCTCACTGGGTGGTTGTGGGGAAGGACTAGAGTGACTGTCCTATCAATTCGCACACCAGAGAAGGACAAGGCAAAGGGATGTGTGTATGCTGAGATGAATTAGTTACTGGCTGCAGGTGAGGCACAGCGACTCAGCAGGTTTCTAGTCCTTAAATTGTCTGGCGAAAACTTTGAAGTCAGAAGGGTGCTCTGTAGGAATTTTGCTCTTTAGGATTTGGGGCTTCATGTCTCTTTGTCCTGTCCTCAAGGCTGACTGTCAAGACCCGCGGCAGCTTCAGGGCTCCCTCTGCTGGCCAAGGGCCGGCGGAGCAGCTCTGGAGGCTGCAGGATTCTGACCCCAGCCCACTGCAGCTGCCAGGGCGCTCAGGAGTCCCGCCTGGGGAGCCCTGGGGAAGAGCCATACAAGAGCCAGCTCTTCCCTCAGGAGCTGCCTCGGCAAGAAAGGCCTCCCGTTGTTGGCGAAGCCCTCCCTGGTCTGCCAGACCCGGAACTCCGCTCCTGCGTCCTGCCTGTGTGCCTCGGTCCTGCTTCCAGCCTCCACCTCTGCCCTCCCCGACTGGCCTGCCTTCCCCAGTTCCCCGACCCTTGGCTCGCTCCGGACTACGCTACCCATAGCGTAGCCTTGCCTAGTATGTCGACCTCCGGCTTGGCCTTGGACTGTGTTCTGGACTTGCTCTTGCCACGCTCTGCCTGCCCGGGTCCCGGTGTCTTTACCCTGCTAGTCAGCTGTCCTCGCCCCAGATGCTGACAGATGCTGAGTAAGGGAAGGAATCTGTTGATGGGCATGAGCCACTCCAGGAACAGCTCATGGGTGGTCTTGTGAATGCTGTTGCTTTGGGTGGTCTTGTGAATCTCAGAATGCGAGACACAAGAATCCATGCAGTTCATCTGCATGCGTGTACAGCACGGTGCAATGTCTGGCTTCTCGTGACACAGAAGGCCTTCTAAGAAAGTCTGTTTTCATTTTTTGGAAACCCACAAATTCCAAGACTTCACAGCTGAGATGGAAAATGTAGAAATACAGTGGCAATGCCAAACCCCAGGGAAATGTGGGCAAGCATGCTTTGCCCTGTTTCTCTCTAGCAGCCATTTAGAAAGGGCTACACACATTTTCTGTACTGTGGATTGCAATTACAATCCTTGTTCCTTCTTGCATCTAGCAAGCATGTCAAGTCGTCTTTGCTAAGCCTGCAGCTGGATGCGGGAGCCCATGTGGAAGTGGAGCAGGGGTTTGAGCCAGTGTCTCTGTAAGCCCTTCCAGCTGTTCTGTTCTGTTCTATAACCCTGGGAATGCTTTACATCGGAGGTTCCAGTGTCAGTGAGGTGATGTAGCCACCCTGGGTCTGAATGTTAAAGGAGCTGTCCATGGTGAAGAGCCATCCCCAGGTTCAGAACCATGACCAGCCCCTGGAAAATTCAGGCTACTGTGCTTAGTGGATACTCATTCCCACTGACACCAGAACCACCCACCTCACCTGCGTGGGCACTGTAGTTCTGTGGATGAGAATTTGTAGCATCCTCACAGTGCTATTGACTCCTGAGATGATTCTGGCACAGCTGTTACCCTTTGGGTGCCAAAGTACCAGCAAAACCTCCACAGCCTTCCCCAACCTGGGCCGTCAAGAAGCACTGGACTGCAGCACCCAGAATTCCCAGCCGATGTGGCCAGGCCCAGTAGCCCGTGCCATTTTATGTTTTTAGTTATTAGAGTTCTCTCCTACTTTCCCCCTACAATGAACTCAAAGCGGCATACATAATTCTCCTGCTCTCAATCTTATTCCCACAATTCCTTTCATTACCCAGGGTCTTACATTCTCTCCTCTAGTTTCCGTTGCTGGGAGCTGTACATGTCTTTCATCTTTTCGATCTCCATGGTGATGTGATCTTGGTTTCCAAATAGCTGGTAGGGAGGGGAAAAAAACCCAGAAGTTGTTGTCAGCTTGTATGGATATAGCAAGCTGCTTTCATGGAGTCAGATGAGCCCGTGTGGCACAGTTCTTCAAGTGTCCAGCTGGGACTCCGGAGATCCGGATTCTAGGGCTCCACTTGAGCCTGAAACGCGATGGGTGACTTTGGACCAAACACTGACTCAGCCTAGCCTACCTCACTGGGTGGTTGTGTAGATAGCATGGGAAGGAAATTGAGGGTTATGCTGAAGTTGGTTCCTTGCAGGAAAAAAGTGATGTATAAATGTAATGGAAAAATAAATGACGGTCCATCTCACAGGGTGGGCTAACTGAGGCTATGCAGATGTTTTGGACAACCACTTCCACCAGTCCCAGCCAGCATGTCCATTGGTCATGGATGATGGGAGTTGTCATCCTCAGCAACTGGAAGCCCTTATTCCTGGTCTACATGGATTGGCAGTGTCTCCCGAGGATTTTATTCATCTATTTTATTTATAACGTTTCTATGCCACCCAATTGGGCCACAGCACCTCTGGGTGGCTCACAATTACAAGATAAAAACACAAAAACCAATAACGCATTAAAATGAAATAACAATAAAATGCAAGCAAAAATATAATATCTTATGGCATTAGTTATTAAAATATTTTTTTAAAAGGAAGGTCTTCACCCGGCGCTGAAAAGAAAGGAAGGCGCCAGGCGAATCTCCTTGGGGAGAGCGTTCCAAATATGGGGAGCAGCTGCAGAAAAGGCCCTGCTCCTGGCGGCCATCCCGCTCCCCTCCTTCAGGGAGGGCTCACACAGGAGGGCCCCCTGCGTGGATCTCGAAGGCTGGGTGGCACATACGGGTTCAGGCACTCCCTAAGATTTTAGCCAGGACCTTCCACAGGCCTACTAAGGAATGCTAGCAAATGGAGCTGAAGCTTAGCTTTTGAGAGCGAAGCACCCAGAGTTGTGGCCCGAGATGGATGGAAACTCAGACCAATGCTCTGAACCTCAGGTTCTTTCTTTCCTGGACCTGGAGAGGAGAGCATCGCTGATGTGAGACTCTGGAGGGCCTTTGGGCAAGACCCCCTCAGGGGTCCCTTCCCCAGCCTTCTCACCAGCCCTGTCCCCAGCTGCTCTCGCCCCTCACCCTCTTCCTCAATATGGCGCCCACCTGCTTGCTAGACAGGCAGAGAGCCAAAGAGCAGGCAGGCAGCAGCAACCCCTCCCTTCCTTGCCACCAGAACCGTTGTCTGGACCAGAGCAGGAGGCAATTCTGCAAGGAGGTCGCAGTGGGGAAGAGGAGCAGCAGAACCAGGGGGCTCTTGTCCGCTGCCCCCTCTGGAGTGAGAGAGCTCCGCAGTGGCCAGATCATGCCTAGCTTTGATGCCAAGCCTGATGGGAGAGTTTTGTGAGCCTGGGGAGATTCTTAGCAAAACCAGACTGAAAAGAAACGAGATACTTTGGGTGCTATTAAAAGCAGCACAACTGATCTGCTGCATGGCAAACAACCCACTGAGAAATTTCCCGCAAAAGCAGAACTGGGAAGTACGCAAGACCACTGCTTTAAGAGGGGCTTGTGCAGGAGAACTTCCCCACATTCATGAACGGGGAGGGGAAGCCATTTCTAAATCCCCCCATGCTTTTAAGAACTAAGAAATGTCTTAGTTCAGCCCCTCCACTCACAGTTCTCTCCAGCTTTCGCCGTTCGTGTTCTGATGCTATCACATCTTCTGGCTATGGACAAGAAGACACAGAAGACAGTATCCCTTAGATGAGAGGGCCACAGGATTTCCACCCCTGTATTAAGGAATCCTTTTCTATGTAATCCATTTTATTTATAAAATTTCAACAAAACAAAGTAACAAAGGAAAAGAAATAATTTGAATTTAATCAGATTTACTACACTGTTATGAAATCTATGTGTGTATACATATATTTATCCATATATATATATATATATATATATATATATATATATATATATGAAACTGTGTACATAGAGATAGACATATACCAATGTGTGTAAATATATGTATACATATTGAAAATATATAAGAATAATATGCTATTATTGTAAGAAGAGCTACATAAGTGAAATAGAATTTTGAAAATAGTGTTACAGATTAACTCAGGCACTGATGCTTCACTGTTATAGAAAATTGATTTGAGATGAATAGAACTTGTGTACACGATTTGAGTTTGAAATGCTTTAAAATGGAAGCAGAAGAAATTTAATTATTGAAGACTGGAATAATAAGACAGTTGATTATGCAGTAATGGTAAGACTAACTATGTAGAAAGACAACCTGCCAACGAAAATGGAAAGTGAAAATTGTATTATACATGACCTCTTTTTAATGGGGATAATAACAATGGAAAATATAGGTAAACATGGATTAGATGTTTTGAGAAAACTATGAAATTAGAAGAATCTACAGTTAAATTTAATTAAGTGCAAAAAATATGATCGTGTAGAAAGGATAGTAATTGTTGACTTACAGTGATTTTCCCTAAATATTTTATAAATAGTTATAATATCTATATCTATATATAAATAAATATAAAATACATTTTATATTTAGGGAAAAATTGTTTAGGAACCATTGGTGGGATTTTTTGTAACCTTTATGTATATTATTTTTTTCTTTTTCTTTTTTCTCTTCTTTTTAAAATTTTACTGTTATTAAAATACAATTATTTTTTTAAAAAAATTATGCATAACCTTCAGCAAAAGCAAGCCAAGTATCCACATCAGTATTCATTTACAATTTTTGCCTTGCTAATAATCATTCGCCAGATCCCGGACTGCGATCAGGCTTTGTGCAAAGGCAAAGCCATAGTGAAGGCCCCGTTTAGCCAGCCATCTCGCTCTGGTGCTGCAGAGTATTCCGGACTCCTAGAAAGATCATTTGCTGTAAACAATGGGGCTAGAGCAGGGGTCTCCAACTCGCGGCCCGCGGGCCAATTGCCCGGACGGGGGGGCACGGGGGAGCGGCCCTGCTGCCTTCAAAGCGCCGGCAGCGCCCGGGCCGACCACGGGATGAGCGGCCCACCACCACCGTGGTGGTGGAATACTTGATGCGGCCCAGCCTCGCCCAGACTCTACTTCCAGCGGCCCCCAGGTCAGCTGAGTTTGAGACCCCTGGGCTAGATTATTCATTTATTAAAAGCTTTTCTAGGCCATCCACTACAAGCGTCTCGGGGCAGCTTACAAGAAAAACAGAAAAAAGCCCCAAAATATAAAACAAAATGAAGCACTGCATCCAACCAGAATAAAACCAATTAAACATTAAAATGCTGGGGAAATAAAAAGGGTTAGGGTCACACGAGTGTATGCAATAAAGGAAAGGGAAAGCAGCGAATTCTGACTCGGGGTGCAGTGGCGCAGTGCTGGCCGGTCCCGGCGAGGCCCAGAGATGCGTGCGCATACCTTCACTTTGCGGGCAGAAAGGCGATGGACCAAGGCGCGCACCCGCTCCAGCTCAGCCAGGGGCTCGTCGGCTCCGGACGGGGGGCCGTCGTCTCTGGCACGGGGGAGAGAACTCACAGCCTTGGCCAGGTTGAGCAGCTCTAGGCTCAGCTCTTCATTCTTAGCAACCTGCAGAGCAGAGCAGGGAGGGGGATCAAGAAAAGGAGGGGTCTTTCCACCCTGCACCCCTGCTTGAGACTGGATACAGGAGGTCAGAATCCCAACAGAAATCGAGAAACCTGTTTGGTTTACTCTGGGTCGCATGATCTATACCAGCCTTCCCCAGCCTGGACCCTCAGAGGTATTGGACTAGAATTCTTGGAAAAGCTGGTCATTCTAGCCCAGCACGTCTGGAGGGGCCCAGACTGGGAAAGGCGGATAGACACTAACTGGCCGCGGTGAACCCGGGGCACATGCAGGGGTCTTTCCCAGCCCTTGCTGGACAGATACAAGCAAATTCCGCTCCACAAAATACCAGTTGCTGGAAAACTGCAGCAGCACAGCATTTTGTACACTCTTCTGCTTGTTGGCAACCCAGAGACGTTGGGTTGGTCACTGTGTGAACAGAATGCAGGCATCAATGCTCCAGCAAAACACCGCCTCTTTTTTTCCTAATATTTTTATTCAAATCAGTGTAACATCTCAACCCGGTATTCCTACAGAGACACTTCAAGAAAATAGCTTTTCCATACATGTGTTTGTGTCTCTGTTTTGTTTATATGTACATAGTTTTTCTAAGATGTTTTAAAAGAGTGTAAGCTTTGTAAATCCCCTGGAGAGCTGCAGCTATTGGGCAGAATGGAAGCATAATGCGTGAGGGAATAAAGAGGGAGGAGCTCATTCTAACTCGGGCAAGGTGGGGAAAGGATGGCTGAGCCCACATGGCCGCCACTGCTGTAGGTCGCTGGGAATCGCCCTGGTCATCCAAGCCAGGTTCTTCTGAATCTGTGCGACACCAAACCTGGAGGAGGAAGAGAGGAGACATGAAAGAGCCCAGGATTGGGCATCCAGTGAGAAGCAGGGCATGGGGTGGAATAAGGTGTCATGCCAGGTAATCCTCTTCAAGAGAAGTTCTTCAAGACAAGGATCCGCTTGCAGGCAGGGCTGACGTATCATGCCTGGCCTGAGCAAGAGGGGTGTGACCATTTCCCAATCCTTTGGTTTCAGTCCTCTGACCCGCCACATTTGCTCGATAGGAGGCTAAACTCCTTGGCTCTTTTTCAGCAGCTTTGTGAAGCTCAGTCCCCTGTGTAGCCTGAAGCAAGATGGGTTCACTTCTAGCTTCTCTCAGAAGAAAAGCAAATTGATTGGAACTAGCCGTCTGCGAAGCGTCCCTAGCAAGAGACAGGGTGGCCTCCAGGAATCATCAACCAATACTAAATATGCACCACATGGACAAATGCAGCAGCATCCAACCTGCTGGCATAATTCCACATTCCTGGTGGCTTCCCACTCAGACAGAAAGCAACACACCTGCACGTCCAGCCTATAACGCTTCTCCAGAGCATACCCAGCCTAAATCACCACCTCTATTCAGAATAAAACATCGGAAGCGAATACACCGGTTAATGATGATCAATATAAATATAATTATGAAAAGTCATTCATGTACTGACATGAAAAAGTGATAAACAGCTCTGTTAACTGTCACTAAGAATTATGAAGGGTCATAAGTCAATGAAGCAATAGACAAAAACCTATTTAAATCGTCATAAAGGCATCTTACATTGGATGGGCAGCCCTTGGCCCAGGGGGGTGTACAGCCTGGACTCAAGGGCACTTCCCATCCTCTTTTCAATTACAAAATTAGGTGGTGGCAGCAAGTACTCCAAAATTCCAGCTTTGTTCATAAAATTCAGGGTACCCATCTAGCTCCTGAGCTTGGCTAGAAGTCAAAAACTATCCATGACTTTCTTTTGGGCCTGGCTGCCCAGCTTCTGGGGCAAATGAAGGGGTATCAAACATTAGCAGCCCATACTTCTTGTTCGTGCTCCTTGGCCAGTGCAAGATAATTGCTCTTCAAAATGAGGTATTCATCTGCTAACTCCTTGCGGTTGGCCTCGAGGGCACGGAGGCGCTCCTGCAAGGCATCCCTTTCTCCAGTGATCTTCTCATCATGAAGCCCAACCTCCAGAATACGGTTTTCCAGGGCAAGATTCTGAGAAAGCCAAAAATCAGAGAGAGGAATGTATTGAGCAAGAGGTATAGTAGTGTGGGGAGGGTGTAAGACACTATTTTTAAATCATGTGGTCTAGCTGCTTAAATTTCATTTACTTATGCTATTTTACAGCTTAGATGCCATGCATAGGGGATGGCATATAAAAGCTTTAATTAAAATCAATCAAGCAATCAAGCAATCTCTACAAAACCAGAAACCACTGAAAACATAACAAAGGCAATAAAAACACCGTGTTGCCATCTGTGATGAGCCTGGAAAACACTATATAAACAAATATATCTTTGGGAGGTGTTTCAGGCTCACTGTGATTTCTGCCTCTCAACCAGCCTGTGGGAAGGGGGTCCAGGGGGTGGGTATCCCCCCCCAAAAGCCCTTCTTACATGTTGCTGCCCAGTGACAAGCTTTTTGGTCACAAAAAGACCAGTGGAGCTGAGCTTTGGTGTGATTCTATTTAAAAATAAACGAAATAGCCACCAGAATGGGTTGTGTGGTCTTTAAACTCCGTGTGGAGAATTCCTGCCCACACACCCTTGGTTTCTTCACAGCTAGGGCTGGCTTTGCCCCACTGCCCGGTTTTGTCCAGGTCTTCTTCTCCCTGCTTTCGCCTGCCTGGCCACCAGAAGGCGGCTTGACCAGAGGCCACGAAACCTTCCGCCTCGGGCAGAGGCAGCCCACTGGATGCAGTCCTATCAAGCTGCCTCCTTATCCCTGATTCCATAAAGCAGATGTGGGCAACTTCCAGGGCTCCGCAGATCAGCCCCCCACTCTGGACCCCCCGAGAGCCGCACAGAATTGCTGCCGCTACCACAGCACCAAATCTGCCACCTCCGGGGAGTGTGATGTCACTCTGGCGCCAGGTGTGGGCTCCCTGCATGTCTCGATGCCTCGTTTTTGTCTCTGTTTTTCCCCACAACAAAACTTTGACAGCAATGTTGGGGGCACAGCCAGTGGAGCTGGTGGCTCCAGCATCCGTGGGGGTGTCCAGCCATGCCTGGCTTCAGTCTGAACTTTAAAGGAGTTGTCCATGGTGCTGAACTGCCGTTCCCAAAATAGGCTTGGCACCAGGAGTGGTACCAGAAAAGTTCCAGCTGCAGCCTGGAGTGGATATACTGCTGATAAACAAAAGGGGCCAATCCCAGCCAGTGTGAGGGGTTGCCAGGGATTATGGGAGTTGTAGTCCAAAACTGTGGTTGCTCACCTTGGTATAAGCATACCAGCAACATAGAATCCCCAAAAGTGGACTTACCAGATTCTTCAGTTCAAAGGTTTCTGCTTCATGCTGTTCTCTCATTTTATTGCTTTCAATCTGGAAATCAACGAAGTCCTTGGAAATCTACAAGGAAGCAGCATTTAAGTTTGCCTTGTACTCCTGGACACAGGAAGCCAGCGGAAAGCAATCTCGCATGAAACCAGGACACACAACTTGGGCCTGGTATACTTGCTGCCTTGTTGTGTATCTCCAGAAAGCGGCTCTGTGCGCTTCCCATGAGTCGCTTATTTGCAGAGAAGGCCTGGCCCGCCGTGCAGCGCTGTCGCAGGAGTCCCTGAGCTGTTGCACGAGAAGGGCCTCCCTCCGTCCCTTACCTTGAGCTTCTCCTCCTCGCTGTGAATCAGTCTGGATGACAAGTCAGCCTTCGAGCCAGCCAGCTGCCCCAGCTTCTCCTGCAGTTCCCCAAGGTTCCCATACAGCCTCTCGTTCCTGTCTTGGAGCTGAACCTGCCCGGAGGAAAACAGCCTCAGCACACGGGATGCTAGCAGAGGATAGCCGTGGTGCCTTAGGCAGCTCTCAAAAAGGGGATGAGAGGAGGCACCGTGCAGCACCGCACCTGCCCAGACTAATTTAGAGGCTTAGCTGTAATCGAGAGACACTTGCTATAAAGAAAATAGCAAAATGTAAAACTGGGAGGCATCCTCAATTTAAAAGGTTGTTGAGCCCAAGCCCCATTTGAAGAGAGAGATCCATAAGAAACTATGAAAGACCTTCAAGTTGCTAGTCCACAGTTTTAGTAGCTGGACAGCAACTGCAGCTGCAGGCACCCAGGGAGCCAGTGACTGTATTTCCTACCAGGGTGAGATGTACTATATTTCTATTTCAGTAAAGGCTCTTATTTCTAGGTTTGCATCTATGCATATAACATCAGCTTATTTATTTATTGTTAATCATGGCCCCTTCTTCAGGAACTGGGCCACCCAAATTGCAGGGCAGCGTAGCAACTTCCCAAGGAAAAAAAGTAGGACATACACCTGTAATTCATGTGGATCAATGCCAGTCTGGAAAAAAGGGGGGAATGCCGTTTATGGAGGTTGCAGCTTGGAAGGGACCAATTCCTGTCCCAAGGAAATTCCAGCCTTGAATTTGATATGTGAGAAACTGCACAGGGATGGGGGGGGGGGTTTGGGGGGAAAGGGGGGGTGGCACTTCCACGTGGGACGTGTGCTCCTCGTTTCCACAGCAGGGGATGGGCATGAGGAAGCGTTGCCCAGAATGCCACGAAAGGGAGGAGCCGATGCTCGGGAAAAGGCAGATAGAAAGGTGGGCAGCGGCCATCCCTTAAATACACCGACTTGGGGGAATGCTGCTTTTCTTTATAACCCGAGTCCTTTTGGTGGTCTCGCTGTTCTTAGCTACAGCAGAAGGCAGCAACCTGTGGCACTCCAATGTGTTGGCCTTCGATTCTCGGCAGTCCTCGCCATCGTCTAGGGCTGATGGGAATTGTAGGCCAAATCGCCTGCTGGGCCTCCCATAACAAGGGTGTTTCTTTTTTTGCCCCAGCGCTCAATCCAGGAGTGGGGAGAGACCATACGAGAGGACTTTTGGGCAAGATCCCCCACAGCCCCTTCCCACAGAGTTTCTTCCTTCTCGTCCCTGGGGTCCCTGGCTGCTCGTGCTCTTCCCTCTGGCGCCCACCCCTTGCTGGCTTGACCCAAAGAGACCTGGGCACAAGTTACCAGCAGCACTTCCGGCTCTTCCTTCTCAAGCCTGTTGTGTTTTGTGCCACCCATGGCAAGAGGTAGGGGACCAGCTGGTTGCTGGGGTGGAGATGAGGGGCATCTCCATGGGGCAGTGGGCAGGGGCCCCTGCTGGGCTGTGGCCCCTCAGTGGGGTCCCAAACATGCTAGGGAAATGTCTCGGCATCTGGAGGCATGTTGAACAGCTTGGCACTTACATTTTCATTGGTGAGGTGCTGAACCTGCTCTCGCAACGCCGACAGGTGGCTGCTCTCAGGGCCACCTCTGAAGTCCATGGGGCCCAAGGGATGGCGAGCCACGGCGCCTAGCTGCACGGAAGCGCGCAGGAGAAGTGGAAGGGACGTGCCCGGAAGACTACGCTTTCACGGGCAGCTCTGGCTGGCACAGAGTTGCTATCAACTCCGGTTGCTACGGGGAGCGGCTTCTGCTTGTCAGTGAGGAGACCCAGGAAAGGGACTGCTTCGCTGCTTCCTCAGGAGCTACGGTGGAGAATTCGACGCAGGCTCTTCCCTATGAGTAGGGAGTCCTAAACCAGACGCAGACGTCACTCGATGTTGCCGATGTTAAGGAGGGACACTGACCCACCCAAAGCAGGAATGAAAGGGCACACTGCAAGATTTCACCAAAATGGAAAGGGGGAAAAATTGTGATCTTGAAAGTGTTTCAATTGATTCAAAGGGTGGATTTTAGTTTTTTTCAGGACTGAAGTACAAATTTTGAAACACCCCAATCTACATTTCAACCATACATTCTGCAGCAAAACCAGTCTGTGGCTTGATGTGCACATCTGAAAATTCCTCATTTATTGATTGGATTTTTATCCTGCCACATTAGCCAATAAGTTTTCAATAGTTTTCGGATGTACCAAATTGGCTGAGCGTAGCACTTATGCAGTCTTTTCACTCGGGCACCAGCAAATGTCTCCCTGATGCAAGGACCTCCTCTGGGGGGGTCTCCCCCCCCCCATTTACCCACCCCGTGATATCAAACAGCCCCATTGCTTCCAAATGGTGCGCTGCGAAGCGGCGTTGCGCTGAGGGCTCGGTCTGCCGGGGAAGGCAAGCCCTTGCAGGCGGTGCCCTGACGCACAGCCGGGCTGCGCGATTTCCACAGGATGGCGCACTTTCTGGGACGAGGTTTGTTCCAGGGGCCCTGTTGCCCAAACCCCGGAGAGCGATTTCATCAGGGGTGGCTGGGATCTGCTGCAGAGGGACTTGGTACACACCGAGGAAACCCTGCTGCTCTGTGCGACCTCGCCCATCCCTGCCTGTGCCCAAGCGGAGCAATCACCACCTGTCTGCCGCCTCTTCCCGAATTCTCTCCTCAGTCCCCCAAAACTGGGTTTCCCTCACTCTTCCTTCTCCCGCATCCCCGCGAAGGTGCACAGATAGCCGGACGGGCTTGCCAGTTCTCTTGCCTGCCCCTGCGCCACTTGGCAGCTCGCGGAGCCCGTTCTGGGGACGTTCTAGATCTCACGGTTCTTGTTTCGTTCTTCAGGGCCTTTAGCGCTGGCAGAGGCGGCGGCGCAGGGCTCTGTGGACATGATCCCCTGGGGAAGGGCCGTTCTTGGGCAGCCGGACGCACGGCGCTGGCAGGAATGCGCCTTCTCCCTGACAGGCTTCCCTGCACGTGTGACGGCGGGGCAGAAGCCCCCAGCACTGGACCGAGCTCTGCTGAGTCCGCGGGCAGAAGCTTCAGCAAGGGGGCGCTTGCCCGGAGAGCCTCGTCTGGGTGCGACTGGGGGCTCCTAGAGCAGCAGCAAGCCCTGCCTGGCGAAGCTTGGCTTGGCGGAGGTGGAGGTCGACTGGGAGGACTGATCTACTCGCAAGTAGGCAGAGCGAGGCCACGGGGGGCGGGGGGGGGGCTGCATTGACACCGCGCCTCGTTTCCTTATGCTCTCAGCATGGTGTCGCTGCACGCGCTCAGCCAGACCCGCTGGGGGCTGTGCGGAGCTTTCCTGCTTTTTCCCCACGTGCTTTCCCCCCACATCACGTCCAGACTCCCCAGCGCCGCGCGCGTGATGCTTGCGGGACGACATGCGCCATTATCTGGGGACCAGTCCGGAGGAACGGCAAGGAGACGCGTGCAGGGGAATGGGCTTGCAGGCCCCCTTGTCCATGTGCGCGTGCTTTAGCTCAGTCGGCCGTGCAGCGGTGCAAAGCAGCGTGCATGGAGAAGACGTTTGCAGCTCTTCTGCCGCTCTCCCCGCCCGCCATCCTGGAGGAGGAGGGATGCCTCTGCTTGCACCTGCAGGACACACGCCCCTCTCTCCAAAAGCAAGCCAGGGCAGCCCCTCCCATGCAAACACCCCCCTCCCCAGACAAGCAGGCGTGAAGGAGCGAAAGAGAGGAGGTGGGGTTTTTTTTTTTTTTGAAAGGGGAGCCGATTTGACAGCCCTTCCTGCCCTCCCGCCACACAATCTTGGGAAACAAGAACAGTCCTCCCAGGTCAGGCCCCACCCCTTTCCTTCTTCCCACATGCACGCCAGAAGAGCTCCCTCCCCACAGATTTCCCCATGAGCTGCCCCCTCCCCGCCCTGTGCAGGCAGCCGCATTTAGATGTGGCATCGAGGAACGGGCAATTTATTTCTGGGAAGATGTGCATTTTTGGCCAGCTGTTTCTTCAACAAGAGGACCAGGAAGGCACAAAGGGGCACCGCTGATGTTACAGTGAGCGGGGGGGGGGGGGG